TTGACTATGCACCCTCTAAAATCTATGCAATATAGCCTTCAGTGTTTCCTACACATTCTTTTGTGCTGCTCTTCCATGCTATACAATGACTTATCCATATGACCAATAGAATATGGCGGTACTAGTGTTACATTACTTGCAAGGTTAGGTTTTAAAGACCACAAAGACCCAGGTATCAAATTAGAACCTTAGCTAGTTCCAAAGGGAACTTTTTCTGAGACTGGAAAGTATTAACTTGCAGGCTGAGCCAAGAAGGTCCAGGACTTTCTTGGATCTAGAAAAGTAAGGGAAAGAAAATGTGAATATGTAAATAGAAATAAGAAGGAATTTAACTAAAAGTGGAAAAAAAAATGCACCTAAGAAAAAGAAGTGAAATACTGATACATGCTTCAACATGTTTAAACCTGAAAACATGCTTAGTAAAAGAAGCCAGTCACAAAAGACCAGCTATTATAAGATTACATTTATATGTAGTGTCCAGAGTAGCCAAAATATAGAAATAGAAATTAGACTGCTCATTTCCTAGGAGTAGAGAATTGGGAAGTAATGGTTTAGTATGGAGTTTCTTTGGAGAGTAATAAAAATGTTCTAATGTTGATTGTGGTGATGGATGCAAAACTCTAAATATTAAAACCATTAAATAGAGCACTTTAAGTGGGTGACTGTGTTGTATTTGAATTATATCTGAATAAAACTACAACTTTTGTCTTGTGCTCTGTTTTCTTTGCGTATTCTGAGGGAAGTCAGCCACTATGTCTTGAGGGCACTCAGGCACATGACCTATGGGAAAGGCTTATGTGGCAAGGTGCTGAGGCTTCCAGCCAGCAGCTGGAAAGAAATTGAAGCCTCCCTTGTGAATAATTTTTGCTAATCTGATTGATGGGAAGTAGTATCTTACTGAAGTTTTAATTTGCTGTTTTCTGAGTGATACAGGCATATTTTAACATGTTTTCTGAGTGATACAGGCATATTTTAACATGTTTAAAAGCATTTGTAGGAGGAAGACAAGAAATAAAAACACAAACGCCATATTCAGTGACATTAAAGAACATCTTTAACCCCAAGGTATAGTATAGGAATGCTAAAGGGGGATAGAGAAATGATAAATTAGCAAGGCAGAGGAAAGTCAAACCTAGATACTATGAAGGAGGAGAAAACAAACAACAATCATACTAATTTGTTCTGTGGGTCCTCAGAAAGCCATATAAATTGGAGGCGGTGAAGTTTATGTATAAGAAGGGAAGGGCTAAAAGGGGGTAGATTATTTAAAAGTCTGTGTAGGGACCAGGGAGATCCCAAATTCTCACCCCTACTCCCATCCCAAATAGATGCTTTCCTCTCCATCACCACAGAAGACAGAAGGTATCTTCCCTGGAGAAACTGAACTAAAAAAGATCTGGACTTGGACATATCGGGCTCTGAGGAATGAATATGAAAACAAAGATATGATATAAAAACATGGAAGCCAGCCAAGTGCAATGGCTCATGCCTGTAATCTTAGCACTTTGGTAGGCCAAGGCAGGTGGATTGCTTGAGCTCAGGAGTTCAAGACCAGCCTGAGCAAAAAATGAGACACCCTTCCCTGCCCCAACTAAAAATAGAAAAATTAGCTGAGTGTTGTGACAGGCACCTGTAGTCCCAGCTACTTAGGAACTTGGGAAGCAGAAGCAAGAGATCTCTCTGAGCCCAGGAGTTTGTGTGAGCTATGATCCATGGTACTCTATTGAGGGCAACAAACTGAGACTATGTCTCAAAAAACAACAACAAAACCCAACCCCAAAACCAAAAACAAGCCATAAAAGCCTATATTCTAAATAGAATGCTCTGCATTTCCCCCTACTTAGCTTCAGAAAGTTAACAGCTAGACTGTTGCTATCTCTAGGCAGGAGATGAGTGGATTTTTCTCTGGAGAATCTAAACCAACACAGAAAAAATATTTTCATACACTGACATTTGAGGGTCTCTATTGTTTTAAAAAGATGGCTTCCTAGTATAACTGAAGTCATTACATATCCAGAATGTAATCACTTCTCACCATGTCCACTACTACGATTCCAGTCCTAGCAAACCATCATTTTTTACTTGTACTATTGCAGCATTTTTTTATATGGTCACCTGTTCTACCTTTATCTCTGGAACCTATTTTCAGCCTAGCAGTCAGAAGAATCTTTTTATAATAGAAGCCAGATCATGTCTCTCTTTTCTTGAAAATCTTTTAGTGATTACAGGTCTCCATCAGAATAGAAGCCAATGTCCTTACTATGGCCTATAGGTCTCACTTGATCACTTGAGATCTGTCCTCTCTGTAACTACCTCTCTGATCCTATGTTCTTTTATTCTCTTGGCTGCAGCCTTTTTTGTGTGTGTGTGAGAGACGAGAGTCTCACTATGTTGCCCTTAGGAGAGTGCCCTGGTGTCATAGCTCACTACAACCTCAAACTCTTGGGCTCAAGTAATCCTCTTGTCTCAGTTTCCTGAGTAGCTGGGACTACAGACGCCTGCCACAATGCCCGGCCAGTTTTTAGAGATGGGGTCTTGGCTCTTGTCAGGCTGGTCTCAAACTCCTGATCTTCAGCAATCCACTAGTCTTGGCCTCCCAGAGTGCTAGGATTACAGATGTGAGCCACCAGTCTTGGCACTGAAGCCATTTTGATGACCTTGAAAATACTAAGCACTCTCCCACTTTCTGAGTCTTTAGATTTGCTGTTCTCTCTACCTGGAACACTCTTTCCCCAGCTATTACCTTGGCTAGCCTCTTCATCTCTATTAGATATTGCTCAAATGTAACCTTAACAGGCTTTCCATATATTAAGTAGCATCCTACCCATCATTCCTTCTCTCTTAGCTTGCTTTATTTTCTCCATAGCATTTGTCATTACCAAATGTTATATATTTATTTGCTTACTTATTTTATATTTCCCTTGGCTAACATTAAAGTTCTTGAAGGCAAAGACTTTATTTTGCTCATTGCCATATTCTGAATACCAAATATAGCAGTAAAGGTGATTGATAAATACTCATTGGCTAAATGGAGCAATAAATTGCTCAAAAGAGATCATCATATACTTTTTCTCTTTTGATTATTAGTATAACTAATTATTGCAATAAGTTTCCTAAGACTGAACTATTCTTGCTTTCCTGATCATTCATACTTGATCTGCTATTTAATTCTTTTAAGATGTTACTGAATTTTATTTGGTAGTATTTTACTTACTATTTTGCCTCGCTATTTTTTTTTTTTCTTTTTTTGAGACAGAGCCTCAAGCTGTGGCCCTGGGTAGTGTGCCATGGCATCACAGTTCACAGCAACCTCCAACTCCTGGGCTTAAGTGATTCTCTTGCCTCCGCCTCCCAAGTAGCTGGGACTACAGGCTCCCGCCTCAATACTGGGCTATTTTTTGTTTGTAGTTGTCATTGTTGTTTGGCAGGCTCGGGCTAGATTTGAACCTGCCAGCTCTGGTGTATGTGGCTGGTGCCTTAACCGCTTGAGCTATAGGCGCCAAGCCTGCCTCACTATTCTTAAGTACGATTTTTCAGTAGTTTTTATTTAGTTATGGTACCTTTATTATATTTTGTTCTTTTTTTTATTTTTTTATTAGATTTTGTTCTTACATCTACTTTAGATTAAAACAAAGGTGCATCTTTTTTTTTTTCTTTCTTCTCAAGGCAGCCAGAATTAATCTTGCTAGCTGAAGAGGGAAGAGTTTGCTCTAACTTAAAGTACTAGGCTTATCTTAGCCATTATTTTTTTCCAATGTTTAAGGCTGGAGTTCCTCTCAACTCATGTCCTCGTAACTGTTCTTGTCCATCAAAGATCATGAAAAATTCTCTGAGAAGATCTTTCTCTTCTTTGGGGGTTCTGAACTTCCCATTTCCTTTGTTAGAAATAGTTATTCTAGGATTCTCAGGTTTCCTTTTATGAGAATCTTTCTCTGTTGTTAGGTTTCTGGAAAAAAATCCTCTATCTGGACCTTGACTCTCTCTTAAACAGTGTTGACTTTTAAAAGTTGTCAGTTAACTCTTAGTTGATAGCTCAGGATGGTTATTGGGAATATTAGTTATATGTGTTGTATCATAGTAATCTTATTGGCTGTCACAGTAGGTAAGTGTCATGTGTTTGCCATTACCTTAAAGAGACCCACACTTGCAGTACATTTTATTATTTTTGCCAGTGCTAGTGTTCTCATTTTTCTGTCTTTCCCTTTTTAGCTTTTCTCTTAGAAATGAGAATTTTTATTTGTTCCTTATCATTTCACATGTGTTTGAAAAACATTGATATGCTTGTTAAAATTTTGCCTAAAATAATTCAATATGTCTTGAGCCAAGGGAATTCTATGGCAAAATGAAAAACATTCAATATTTTGACATCTCCTTTGGCTGTTCATAGTTCTTTCTTAATGTTTACCTTTCCATTCCAGATTATTTACTATACTTTTTTTTTTTTTTTGAGACAGAGTTTCACTATGCTGCCCTTCATAGAGTGCCGTGGCATCATAGTTCACAGCATCCTCAAACTCTTGGGCTTAAGCGATTCTCTTGTCTCAGCCTCCCAAGAAGCTGGGAATACAGGCGCCTGCCACCATACCCGGCTATTTTTTTGTTCCAGTTGTCATTTGTTGTTTAGCTGGCCTGAGCAGGCTCAAACCCACCAGCCTTGGTGTATGTGGCTGGTGCCATAACCACTGTGCTACAGGTGCTGAGCTGATTTACTCTACTTTTAGATAAGTTGAAAAGCAATATCAAGCTGCCTGGGTTCAATTAATGGCTAGGTCTGGCTTTTGGGCAAGAATCATAACTTTTCTGAGCATAAGTAAAATGGAGATAATAGTTATATTTACCTCATAGGGTTGTTGTGATACATACATGATTTAGTACAAATATAGCATTTAAAGTAGTGCCTAGACCATACTAGTCAATACATTTTAACTTTCATTGTTGTTACTATATTCCTAGAATAGCATTGCTTGATGTTCTTCAATTGCCTGTTAAATATAGTGAAGATGGTCAAGGCCATATTTAAACTTCCTGTATCAGAAGTGTAAGTACAATATTATGATTTTCCTACTTTTTTAAAGTAGAGGAATGGAGTCATAGAGAAGTAACTTACTCAACTGTATAAAACTGTTAAAGAACCATGAGTGAGCGGCGCCTGTGGCTCAAAGGAGTAGGGCGCTGGGCCCCATATGCTGGAGGTGGTGGGTTCAAACCCAGCTCCGGCCAAAAACTGCAAAAAAAAAAAAAAAAAAAAGAACCATGAGTAAGAACCAACTCTCTTAGTTTTGGCTTCTGAACTTTTTGTTCTTTTGGCCAGGGCTGGTTTGAACCCTCCACCGCCAGTATATGTGGCCAGTGCCCTACTCCTTTGAGCCATAGGCACTGCCCAGCTTCTGAACTTTTTTCACAGTCAGTTATTGATATTATATGTTTTGTTTTGTTTTGTTTTTTGGTATGTGTGTGAGACAGTCTTGCTCCATCGCCCTGGCTAGAGTGCAGTGGAGTCATCATAGCTCATAGCTCATAGCTCATACCTCAAACTCCTGGGCTCAAGCAATCCTCCCGCCTTAGCTTCTGGAGTAGCTGGAACTATAGGCATGTACTACTACATCTGGCTAATTTTTTTTTTCTATTTTTTTGTAGAGACAGGGTCTCACTCTTGCTCAGGTTGGTCTCAAACTCCTGAACTCAAGCAATCCTTCTGCCTTAGCCTCTCAGAATACTAGAATTATAGGCAGGAGCCATCATACCTGGTCTCATATGATTGCTAATATACATTGAAGCATAGATTTCATATCTAGTGGTTTTTAGATACACCATTCATGTGGCATTATTTTCTGCTACATTTAATTGACTGTTAAAATAGGCAACATTATTACTACTGTGTTCATTGAAAACCCATGTTAACTTGAGCATATTATGAAGACGGACCATACTCTAAGAAGAAGACTGTACCAAAGCTGGGCTAAGTAAAAGACAGGATCATACATTTGAGAAGTACTAAGTTCTAGCAACAACAGAATGACATGAAGGGCAATTATTCTCATTACAGATCCTAGTAAGTCTGGGACTTAATATTATTTATGTTCCTGCTGTGCTATCCTGTCAAAACAAATTACTAAAGTGATATTTGCCAAATAACTTTCATTGTGCCCAACATCTGCTTAAAAATTTTATTTTTTAAACTTGATTGTTTTAGTAGTTTCTTGTGGGGCAAAGTCCTAATTTTTAACTTTGTTACATGGGATTGTTAATAACTGGCTGCAAAAGACCTAAATCATTTAGAGTTCTTTTGTTGCAAGTAGTAGAAAAGTCTAACTTGAAATGGCATAAGTATATATAAAAACTTTCTGGCTAACATAAGTAGAAAGTCTTGGGATAGTTAGTCTTAATTATGCCTTGATCCAGGGGCTAGATTGTGTCACTGGTATTTATTCCCTCTCTTTTTTTAAATTTTATTTCTTATAGCATAACTGTGTACATTAATGCAATCATGGGGTACAGTGTGCTATTTTCATATACATTTTGAAATACTCTCATCAAACTAGTCAACATAACCTTCATGTCATTTTCCTAGTTATTGAGTTAAAACATTCATATTCTGCTTTTAGAAAGATTCACTTGTACTTTTGTAAGATAAACCATAGAGGTGACCCCACCAATCTCCCTCCCTCCCCCCATCCACGCCCCTCACCTCCCCCTTCCATCCCCTTATTCCCTCTCTTTATCTAACAGTTCTATCTTCTGCTATATCAGAATCATTTTCTGGCACAAAGTGCTGAATGTCTTAGCAGTGCCAAGCTTACAGCATCCTTAATATTAGTAAGACCAGAAGAAAAGACAATATGCCTTGCAGCAAAAGTTTCATTGCATCTTGTTGCCTATTCCTAAATCATCTATACAACCAAGGAAGTATGACAATAATTCGTAAGGTCTAAGTCACACTTTCACTTCTGAACTATAGTTACAGTCAACTCTACCTAACGTTTATTTAATCAGAAAAGAGGGAGAGAGTGAGAATACTAGGGTATTATTACCAGGAAAAGGTCAAAGAATGTAGACCAGCAAAAACAATTGTCTACTATATGACTTTCCAACTCCTTTGCTGCTATATTCTGGATCTCCACCTAACTTGGCCCATCTATTTATTTTTCCCAATATGTCATGCACATCTCAAATTTTTTACATATGACTATGTACTCACCTTCAATTTTTCTCTGAATATCACCTATTCTTTGAATTTTTGTGGAGTCTTTCCCTCTTGAAAATTCATTAGCTAAAACATTCAAGTAAACCCGTCAGGTTGCAAATAAATGAGAAAGATATTACAAGAATAAGCTTCAATTCTCTCTAATTTGTGTGTATATGAAATAATAGGCAAACTCTGATACCTTAACTATTATAGATACACATCACTGTAAAATATAGCACAATTTACAGAGTCATACCATTATACTGAGGCACCATGGTTGAGAGCTGCAACCTGGTCAGCATTGTGCTGTTGACTTGCACTGTATTATTTCTTCTAATGTATTAATTTTATATAGGCAATTAATAAATGTTTATAAATGAACAAATTCAAACATACTATTGATGGAAAATACTATAAAAGGGTAGTTCTAGATAATTATAGTAGCAATATAATAAATCTATTAAGTAGACAATGATTCTTCCTATTACTAAAGTTGCTCCGAAAGTGTTTTATTCATACTTATCATTGCACTTAAAACATTGGATTATAACGTATCTCTTTTTTTTTTTTTTTGAGACAGAGTCTCACTTCATTGCCCCTAATAGAGTACCCTTGTGTTATAGCTCACAGCAACCTGTAACTCTTGGGCTCAAGTGATTCTCTTGCCTCAGCCTCCCAAGTAGCCGGGACTACAGGCACCTGCCATAGCAGGCTAGGTTTTAGCCTGTTAAACCTAGCCTAACATCTGGCTATTTTTAGAGATGGGGGTCTCTCTCTAGCTGAGGCTGGTCTCAAACTCATAAGCTCAGGCAATCTACCCACCTCAGCCTCCCACAATGTTGGGATTACAGGCGTGAACCACTGCACCTAGCCAATTTATCTTTTTTCGTAACTGTCTTCTCTTCTAAACTGTGAGCAACTCAGATGCAGCATCTGAATATTATTCCTTCTTATATATCTGATACATAGTAGGTGTCCAGTTAATGTTTGTAGAAAGAATAACAGTTGATTTTGAAATCAAATATTAATTTTACCCCTTGATAAAAAGGAAGTGTCTCCTTAAGCCTTCTACCTTGAATATATTTTGATTCAATTTTTCTTTAAATCCATTTATAGTAGAAACAATAGGTAAGGTTGCCTGATTATTTTAGCCTAAGAGGCATAGATTATTATAGCTTGGTAGAGTAACTGTATTCTAACATCTAGGCAGTAGCAACCTAGCTGTTCTTTTTCTTTTCTTTTTTTGTGACAGTTTCACTTTGTCACTCTTGGTAGTGTGCCATGGCATCACAGCTCACAGCAACCTCAAACTCTTGGACTTAAGAGAGGACATGACAAGTCTGCAGCATGTCTCTCTTATCTGAGTTATGTCTGCCTATAACAGAGTCTCACAGAATGGCTTTTCAGTTTAAGATAGGGTCAGGTTGGCCAATTTAATATTCCCAACTATTTATTTTATTATGTTTTGGGAATTGGGGCATCATTCTCATAAACTATGTCCTCCCCAGTAGCTGGGACTATAGATGCCCACCACAATGCTCAGCTATTTTTATTTTTTTTTTTTATTTTTATTTTTTTTTTATTTTGAGACAGAGCCTCAAGCTGTCCCCCTGGGTAGAGTGCCGTGGCATTA